CATCATCTGGATGTTCCTTTGTGGAGATCTTGGGTCGCAGCATCCGAGCGTGGATCACATGGAAGTGGATGCTCCTCTCCCCTCAACAAATATTCTGGGCAAATCTGCTCCGTCTTTGTCATTGATTAGTTATGTTGTGTTGACAATGTTTTGATTCTTCATGTGAATGATTTTGTTGTGTGTACACTAGTAGATCAGACGGGTAGAGAGAGAGAGAGAGAGAGAGAGAGAGAGAGAGAGAGAGAGAGAGAGAGAGAGAGAGAGAGAGAGAGAGAGAGAGAGAGAGAGAGAGAGAGAGTTTGGTGTCAGGAGACGTCTTTACAAACACATTGACAGCTGTCTCATTCTTGTAGTATATGATAACCTGTAGCTTTTGGCTGGTGTTACTATGGGATTTCTGTCGAATTTGTCTTTCCTCACTCTTTCAACGGACCACAAAAATGTTTATTAAAATTTTCAAACAAATGTTGAATATAATTAGACAGTACTATGATTCTATCCTACTTATCTTCCCCTACCCCGTCCCTATCCCTTGCTGTGCCTTGTACACGTTCTCACCTATATGTGAACAAGGGGAAGGTGCTCCAGCTCCCGGGCCCCGCTTTCAAACATCAATTAATTCTTCATCTTAAAACTTTATGTGTATCAATAGATTTCTGATTGTTGTGTGGTTTCTACAGGACTGTCTACGGGGTACCAGGAGGAGTGGCGGGACTACGTGTGTGTGTGTGTGTGTGTGTGTGTGTGTGTGTGTGTGTGTGTGTGTGTGTGTGTGTGTGTGTGTGTGTGTGTGTGTGTGTGTGTGTGTGTGTGTGTGTGTGTGTGTGTGTGTGTGTGTGTACTTACCTAATTGTACTTACCTAATTGTGCTTGCGGGGGTTGAGCTCTGGCTCTTTGGTCCCGCCTCTCAACCGTCAATCAACTGGTGTACAGATTCCTGAGCCTATTGGGCTCTATCATATCTACATTTGAAACTGTGAATGGAGTCAGCCTCCACCACATCACTTCCTAATGCATTCCATTTGCTAACTACTCTGACACTGAAAAAGTTCTTTCTAACGTCTCTGTGGCTCATTTGGGTACTCAGCTTCCACCTGTGTCCCCTTGTTCGCGTCCCACCAGTGTTGAAAAGTTCGTCCTTGTTTACCCGGTCGATACCCCTGAGGATTTTGTAGGTTGTGATCATGTCCCCCCTTACTCTTCTGTCTTCCAGTGTCGTGAGGTGCATTTCCCGCAGCCTTTCCTCATAACTCATGCCTCTTAGTTCTGGGACTAGTCTAGTAGCATACCTTTGGACTTTTTCCAGCTTCGTCTTGTGCTTGACAAGGTACGGGCTCCATGCTGGGGCCGCATACTCCAGGATTGGTCTTACATATGTGGTGTACAAGATTCTGAATGATTCCTTACACAGGTTCCTGAACGCCGTTCTGATGTTAGCCAGCCTCGCATATGCCGCAGACGTTATTCTCTTTATGTGGGCTTCAGGAGACAGGTTTGGTGTGATATCAACTCCTAGATCTTTCTCTCTGTCTGTTTCATTAAGTACTTCATCTCCTATTCTGTATCCTGTGCCTGGCCTCCTGTTTCCACTGCCTAGTTTCATTACTTTGCATTTACTCGGGTTGAACTTCAACAGCCATTTGTTGGACCATTCACTCAGTCTATCCAGGTCATCTTGTAGCCTCCTACTATCATCCTCTGTTTCAATCCTCCTCATAATTTTTGCATCGTCGGCAAACATTGAGAGGAACGAATCTATACCCTCTGGGAGATCATTTACATATACCAGAAACAGTATAGGTCCAAGGATTCCCTCTCACTCCAGCCTGCATCTCCAACTTTCGCACTAGCCTCTTGTGGGGCACTGTATCAAAGGCTTTCTGACAATCCAAAAATATGCAGTCTGCCCACCCTTCTCTTTCTTGCCTTATTTTTGTTGCCTGGTCGTAGAATTCAAGTAACCCTGTGAGGCAGGACCTGCCATCCCTGAACCCATGTTGATGCTGTGTTACAAAGTTCCTTCGCTCCAGATGCTCCACTAGTTTTTTTCGCACAATCTTCTCCATCAGCTTGCATGGTATGCAGGTTAGGGACACTGGCCTGTAGTTCAGTGCCTCCTGTCTATCCCCTTTCTTGTATATCGGGACTACGTTAGCTGCTTTCCAAGTATCTGGCAGTTCCCCTGTTGCCAGTGATTTGTTATACACTATGGAGAGTGGTAGGCTCAGTTCTCTTGCTCCTTCCTTTAGAACCCAAGGGGAGATTCCATCTGGGCCTATAGCCTTGTGTGTGTGTGTGTGTGTGTGTGTGTGTGTGTGTGTGTGTGTGGGTGTGTACTTTAATATCTCTGTGTAGGGTTGAGTTTTAGCTCCTGAATCCCTCCTTTTAACGGTTAATCCAGTCGATTAGTTTGCTACAAGCCTCCAGTCAGTCCCTTTCTTCATCTCATATTTCTTATATTTGAAACTAAGAGTCAAGCTTAATAGAATTAGCGTAATGGTTTATATATGAGTTACGAGAGCCAAGTTGTGTTATATTATCTCCCTGTGAAGCCTGGCCCTGCCAACACTTCTATTATATTTGTCAAAGTATATATAATTAATATAATTATTAATATAATAATTATAATTAGTATATAATAATATAATACTGGTCTCATTAAGGTTCAGAGTGGATCTCGAACCATTCTATGAGCAGACGAAGAGTCACAATAACGTGACTGAAATATGTTGACCAAACCACACACTTAAAAAGTGAAGGGACGACGACGTTTCGGTCCGTCCTGGACCATTCTCAAGTCGATTCTATTAGTTTCATTCAGCCACTTGGCATAATTGGCGTAATATCTACCACTTATGGAAACAGGTTCTGTTTGAAAGACACGAAAAGATTGCGTGATCGCTGACTGAGCGATAATTTTCAGTGGAAACAGCCACGGAGAATTGATGACTGAGCGTCTTGTGTTGATTGATGAAGATTAAGCCACCCAAGAGGTGGCACGGGCATGAGTAAGTCTTGTGATGTAATAACAGGCTTTAGATAGTCGACGAGGTTGGGCCTGGTCACGTGCTTTGTAAATGCTAGTCTTATACATGAGAGTAAGACCACCAACACCCCACCACTTACGGGCTATTCATGCCCGTGCCACCTTTTGGGTGGCTTAATCTTCATCAATCAATCAATCACCAACACCTGTCTGGAGTTGGTGGGTTCTGAAACAGTAATGTTGATTAATGAAACACATTACCGGGAAACACAGATTTGGGATCGCTAGATTGTTTCAAGCGTAGATTAGACATATATTAATGAGTATGGGTGGATATAAATACGATCTTCCTCCAATGAGCCAATAAGCCTACAGTATCCTGTATTCTCAGAGAGAGAGAGAGAGAGAGAGAGAGAGAGAGAGAGAGAGAGAGAGAGAGAGAGAGAGAGAATATTGGACAGGTTACCTGAGGATCATAAAACGGGAGCCCACCACAACAGACAAATGGGACACCGTTGCTTTCACGGACCCAAACTGATGCGCCAAGGTGCTAAGCCTTCTCATGGATGTTGAGACGTGCACTACACCGAGAGATGGTGCACAAGACAGCCATGAAGATGTTAAAGCCGAGTGCCACCGGTCAAGAACTTCACCATCTCATTCTTAACCCCCCCCCCCCCTCAAACACACATTCTTACAATGTGGTTTGCCTTCAGTCACACGCACAACCTTCCCAGAGGCATAGTTACCAGCGCCCCGCCCCTCGTCATCTTGTAGACATTTTACCAAAATCTTGAGGTAAACCATCAGCCTCAACTAGTAATTCTTATCTTAAACCATGAGAGATTTACGGAACGTAATTAGGGACATTAAAGTGAAGAATGAGAAGGTGGAGCGTCTTCGTGTCACCGCGCTTCTTAACACGGCTCCAGACTACATAAAGTCTTGAGATTACTGAATGATAAAGTACTTTCCACTAACATCGATTTTCCTGAACCCTGTAATGATTTCATCACCGTATGTATACACTGTAATTACCTGTGCTTGGCCTCTAAATTCTGTTGTCAACAGTTTGGCATGACAGTGAGGTCATCTATTGACTGCGTTTGATGATATTATCATGGAATATGTTGCAGCATTATCCTCTTCCAACATCTTCAAGTTCAATGATGCTGCCTTAAGAAGCATTATCCTCTTCCAACATCTTCAAGTTCAATGATGCTGCCTTAAGAAGCATTATCCTCTTCCAACATCTTCAAGTTCAATGATGCTGCCTTAAGAAGCATTATCCTCTTCCAACATCTTCAAGTTCAATGATGCTGTCTTAAGAAGCATTATCCCCTTCCAACATCTTTCACGACACTGTGAAGTTCAATGCTGCTGTTTTAATCATGATTCCACATGGTTTCCATATTTATAATTTGGAAAACAAGCCAAATACAATTGGATAAACACTATCCAGTTTACTTTATAAATATAAAGAGATGATTCACTTCTTCTGCAAGACACATTAAGACTGTCAGATGATATCACTGAGGTGATGGTCCGCAGGAAACAGAAACTATCAAACAATAGATGAACAGGAAATAGAGTAGACACCAGCAGCATTAGAAGCAGGAGGAGCAGTGTGAACTAGAATCCTTTGCATTTCCTTTGCATTTCATCAACTGTGCCTACTCTCAAGCTAAACTAAATTTCTTTCATCCTAAACCTGCTTCCAACACTAGTAGCACTGTACTATGCCTTCCCTTCATATCTGAACTCAAAACTTTTACCAATACCTTTCGTCCTCTTGACATTAAACTCGCCTTTCGACAAACTAACACACTTCGTAGTAATCTAGTTCACACTGCTCCTCCTGCTTCTAATGCTGCTGGTGTCTACTCTATTTCCTGTTCTTCTTGTCCTCTCCAATACTTTGGCGAAACTGGCCGTACACTGAATGACAGACTTATCAAACAATATTTTATTAATTTTTACTCTCCCTGTAATAATTGGACGAACTGCGGCACAGTTATTGAAGTCATCCTCGAGACTTTAGCAATATCAAACGAGCAGTTCCTTGAGGGTGAGTGTCCATACATCACTGGGCTGCTTCCTCAGCCTTGAGCATCCTGTATCCTTCGCTACTGAAGGAAGAAAGTGCTCAATACAGATCATCAACTGTAACTGTAACAACTTACTGTTATGTTCAAGACCAGTATTTTCAAAGCTTTCGGCCTGGCCCAACTGCCTAAACACACTATATAGCCTGCCATTACAACACAAGGCGCTCAGTCAGCAATCATTTCACACTGGCTTTAGCACACTCGAAAAGATATCTCGGTCAGCGAGCATTCATTTCTTTTAGGCCTATAAGTTGGACCATGCCTTCACAATAGGTAGATATTAGACCAAAGTTAACTAACTGTATGTAAACATAGATGACGCAAACTTACTAAAAGGTCCTAGGTTCAATTTCTGTAGCAGGAGAGAAGTGCCTGTGCGACGTTTCCCTTCACCTGATGCTTATGTTCACTTAGCAGTAAATTGGGACCTTGGAGTTGGGAACCTGTTGTGGATTGCATCCTGGGGAAGGTCTGCCCTAGGCCCTATGGGAACATTGATAACCCTAACTGTCTTGCTGTCTGCCACTGTAGGACAAAGATATGAGCGATAATGCAATAAGTGGTTGAATAATGTTTACTAGACCCTCAAGTGCCTGGCTTGGTTGATACCTGGTTGATACCTGGTTGATGGGGTTCTGGGAGTTCTTCTACTCCCCAAGCCCGGCCTGAGGTCAGGCTTGACTTGTGAGAGTTTGGTCCACCAGGCTGTTGCTTGGAGCGACCCGCAGGCCCACATACCTGACCGACGTTCCTGCCCACAGGGGGGAAGAACAAGGTGATCATCAAGAAGCTGCCTGCCAACGGTGCCAGCGAGAAACTACTGTCCGTCGGGAGCGACAAGGTCACCCCAGACCAGCGGGTGACGGTCGACGGGTCGCGCCTCACCATCACCAACACCCGCCCGCGGGACGCCGGCGCCTTCCTCTGCCAGATCGACCTGGAGCCCCCGCTGCAGCTTCGCCACACCCTCGATGTCCAGTACGCCCCGACCATCAGGGCGCTGGTGCCCCCCGAGCAGCGGGTGGCTCGGGGCAAGAGTGTGACCCTGGAGTGTTCCACCAGGGGCAACCCTGAACCGACCATACGCTGGACCCGCCAGGAAGGTCCTCTTCCCTCGGGTCAGCGAACTCATCAGGTAAGTGTTGAGGCCCACTAGCTCAAGGGACTTCCCGCGCGAAGGTTTCCTGGCTGGGAATTAAATGGTGTAATTGGGGTTGCAAACACTTTCTTAACAATATATAATGAGTTCTACAGAACCTGTTTAATGTGTTCTACAGGACCTGTATAGTGTTCTACAGAACCTGTATGGTGCGTTCTACAGAACCTGTATAATGTGTTCTACAGAACCTGTATAATGTGTTCTACAGAACCTGTATAATGTGTTCTACAGAACCTGTATAGTGTTCTACAGAACCTGTTTAGTGTTCTACAGAACCTGTATAGTGTGTTCTACAGAACTTGTATAATGTGTTCTACAGGACCTGTATAATGTGTTCTACAGGACCTGTATAGTGTGTTCTACAGAACCTGTATAATGTGTTCTACAGAACTTGTATAATGTGTTCTACAGAACCTGTATAGTGTGTTCTACAGAACTTGTATAATGTGTTCTACAGAACCTGTATAATGTGTTCTACAGGACCTGTATAGTGTGTTCTACAGAACTTGTATAATGTGTTCTACAGAACCTGTATAATGTGTTCAACAGAACCTGTATAGTGTTCTACAGAACCTGTATAGTGTGTTCTACAGAACCTGTATAATGTGTTCTACAGGACCTGTATAATGTGTTCTACAGGACCTGTATAATGTGTTCTACAGGACCTGTATAGTGTGTTCTACAGAACCTGTATAATGTGTTCTACAGAACCTGTATAATGTGTTCTACAGGACCTGTATAATGTGTTCTACAGAACAAATGTTTTAATGCATTATGAAAGTTGTGTGAGTATCTGTGATGAGACGAGAGACCCTCGCCTCCCCTGGTGTGAGGAACGTCTCATTCTCTACAATTTAACTTACATTTCCAGTAATATATTTTCTCGTAACTTTTTCCCCTTGCATAAGTGGTCCTTAGGATAAAATATATGATCCCTTGTATATTGCAACTTTTTTTATGATTATAAAGAAGTTTTCCCCTCAAATAATTTTGCAGGTTATAGATTTCCAGAGTTTATATTGAAAAGCATAGAATTGGTCAAATAGTATGAATGTGGGAGTACTTAGTCTGAATTTGCAATACGTTACAAATTCAACGCATGAGAGGACATTTTGCTTCAGTTGGACCAATAATATAGTTTCCAAATCTCGTTTGCTTTGTAATGGATCGGTTCTGAAGGTGTTAGCAACACCATCATGTTTAGTTGAAATATATGTCCGTTGTTCGCAGGAGCGAATATTGTCTGAGTGGACTGCAGGTGTTGTAATTATTGTAATATACTTCCCACAAACACCTGTGGCATTGTTCCACTACCAACCCGCCTCCATTTTTCTTTTTATTTACCAAGAACCATATGTTTTCGTTCAATAAATATTAAATCTTTCACTTTAGGTTAAAGAAAAGGATAATGCAAAGCTCTTAGAGCGATTTCCTAAATTCTTCCGCAGTTTCCCGGTGAAGACAGAATATTGTACTTCAAGGCGATAATGGTCCTTAGCTTCAATATCTCCAAGGATGGAAGTAATGTTTCAGAAAATGTAGATCTAAAATGAAAATGTAAATGTCAAATGATCCGCGGGAGGGTTATTAAGGTCTGCCAACCACTGAAGGGTTATTAAGGTCCATCAACCTCAGGGGGGGGGGGGTATTTGAGGTTATCAACGTCTATAAGAGAGTTATTAAGGCCACCACTACACCTTAATAAGCAACCAGCTTATTGTTTTAATAAGCTTTAGTCCTGTACAGAGTCCTGGACTACACAAGACTTTCAGTGTATATACACCAAAAAAAGAGATCCCATCTCTCAAGTGTATACATATCCCCTGAGAACATCCTCAAGTGTCACTCAGCTCCCTTGATCTCTCCTCTCACTCGAGCTTCCCCCCCCCCCCCCGCAGGGTCCGAGGCTGACGGTGGAGGCGGTGGAGAGACACATGGAGGGGACCTACCTCTGCACTGCTGACAACGGTATTGGCGAGCCCGCCTCGGCCGCTGTCTCCCTCACCGTCGAGTACCCGCCAGAGGTCTCCACAGAGCGGGTGAGTAGCCCTCGGGTCGCTGATTGGAAGTCTCTTGACGATTTCAGATGTTCCTGTAATCCTGCAGCCTATTGATGATTTCAGATGTTCCTGTAATCCTGCAGCCTATTGATGATTGCAGATGTTCCTGTAATCCTGCAGCCTATTGATGATTTCAGATGTTCCTGTAATCCTGCAGCCTATTGATGATTGCAGATGTTCCTGTAATCCTGCAGCCTATTGATGATTGCAGATGTTCCTGTAATCCTGCAGCCTATTGACGAGTTCACTTGTTCCTGAAATCTTGCAGCCTGGTATAGGCCTTCCCTGGCAATTGTCTGGTCAACAAACACAGAGGCACACACACACATTAGAACAAACTTGTAGAAGCACAGTCTCACAAACTCATATACGCATAAACACAGATTCACAGAACCACAGACACAAAGTATTCGGAAATACTTATTTCGTATTTTGAAAAATACAAAATTATGTTATGATCCTTGTAACAGCACTTTGGCTTCAACACAATTATTTGTGTTTCATGTAACTAAGATTCAGGACAGGGGTTTTGTAATGCCCACTCAGAGTGGGTATTGTGTAATGCCCACTCAGAGCTGGTATTTCACAATGCCCGTTCAGTGCAGATAATTCTATCCTCTCAAGGCACTGAATTCTGTGAGGAAGACCATAGCTACAGAGCACTGAGAGTCTCCTATTGTTCCAGGCTGTGGTTCGAACTGGCGATGGTGACAAGGTCGAACTGGTGTGTGTGGTGCACGGTCTCCCGCCCCCAGACGTGGCTTGGACCAGAGACGGCCACCCACTCCCCGATAACCTGATGGACACCAAGCTCCACCTCCCGCACCAGCAGCAGCAGCAGCAGCAGGAGCACCACCAGACGCGGCAGCATCACCAGCTGCTGCCCTCGGGGCACTCCGCCGCCGCCTACTACGACCCCCACGTCAGCCAAAGCCACTTCCCTCATCGTCACACACTTACCATCGCCCACGTCACGGAGAAGGACTTCGGCGCCTACGTCTGTATAGCCGAGAACATCCATGGCCAGATGAACGGTGTTATACAGATGACAGGTGAGTGTTTGTCTCTCTCTCTCTGCCTCTCTCTCTCTCTCTCTCTCTCTCTCTCTCTCTCTCTCTCTCTCTCTCTCTCTCTCTCTCTCTCTCTCTCTCTCTCTCTCTCTCTCTCTCTCTCTCTCTCTCTCTCTCTCTCTACAAGGAACGGGTCTCTCCTGCAGCTGTCACACAACTGACAGGCAAGTGCTTCTGTAACACACCTGCCATACAGCTGTATGACAGGTGTTGTGGACGTTAAACACTAAACGGGGTAAGCTTTACACTTATCTTGAAGGCTGTGAGGTCCTCCAGCTTATACCGTAATGGGAGGCATTTAATACCCTGCCCCGGCCTATACTAGCAAAAAGCAAGAAGAGGCATCATTGGCACTTCTCAAGCATCAGTAACCACCGCTACTCATGACAGTCACCTAGAACGGCCTCAGTATTATTTGGGAGAAAGTCCTTTCCAAGCCAGGAGGAACTATCAAAATTCCTGAGACGTTTCTCCGTACGTAGCTCGTTCTGCACATCTGACGTCACAAATCCACACATACCCGGAGACTCTCCACCTTTTTCATTCAGGAAAGAGCACTAGGATCTTAGAGCACTCGGCCTCCAGCATGAGAGAAGGAGTGCTCTATGGACTGAGCCACAAGCTAGCCACAATAGGAAAGGATTTCAGAGGCACCAAAGCACTGCCCAACTGTTAAGCCTTCCATTGGATGCCTGCCGCTTGAGCCCAGAATAATTAGGAGAGCCATATTGTCATATAACTTGTCAACCACAATATAGTGGATGGTAATATTACATTCGGCAGGGCATTAGGATGCTCGAACACGCGACCTCAGGAATGAAAGACGAATGCTCTATCAACTGAGCCGCGAGCTCAGTGCAATTCTTCTGTGCTTGTTGCACGTGTTCTACTTGTGACTGATGTTACAGACACACCTGCCATAACTTGAATATGTAATGGTTAATATGTTACACACCTGGCATGAATTACACACCCGTCACAGATTACAGTTGTTCTGTAATGATCATTAAGCCATTTACAGGTTAATCGGATTTGTATATTTTCACTTTCATTTCCGATAAATATTGTATGAAATGTTGCAAAAATAGCACAATGCATATGAAATATTTAGTTCCCTGAGTATGAAGGATATGCGTTCATTATCTCTCTCTCTCTCTCTCTCTCTCTCTCTCTCTCTCTCTCTCTCTCTCTCTCTCTCTCTCTCTCTCTCTCTCTCTCTCTCTCTCTCTCTCTCTCTCTCTCTCTCTCTCTCTCTCTCTCTCTCTCTCTCTCTCTCTCTCTCTCTCTCTCTCTCTCTCTCTCTCTCTCTCTCTCTCTCTCTCTCTCTCTCTCTCTCTCTCTCTCTCTCTCTCTCTCTCTCTCTCTCTCTCTCACTCACACTTTTTCCTCCTGCCATGTCAAGCTGAGTCCTCTTTATCCATTAGGGGTCGACCCCAACCCCCCCCCACCCTCTCTATGACAGTCCTTGCTCTAACCATTGGGGTAACTTAGGCTGCCGAGATTCGAATCCCTTTGCGGTCACGAGAGTTTATAGATATCTATCTATACTTTATAAGAAAGAATGTCAGTTTGTCTGTCAAAAGTTGGAGGCCTGAGGCTTAGGGCTAGCCTTGCACAAATTTGTAACAGATATGGTCTGGGGTACTCCGACATGGGCTGGTCGGAGTAGGCCTAAATTAGATTATTTAAGAAATATTAATAATTATTCACCCGCCACTCCGAAATTTGTTTTTAATTTCAAGCAAATTAAATATAATTTGCTTAACAAGTTTTTTTATAATTAGTTTGTTATTCTCAAACGTGAATGGTATAAACACGTAAGAACATGATCTTGAAAGTGGAATAAAGAAGTCAAACCTTGAAGAGGCATATCCAGAGATGTTAAAGAACAGTTAAACTATTCTGGGTGTTCTTCATACCAGTTGGTGGCTGGGCGTGTGTTCTGCCAGCTAATCATGCCAATTAATATTCTAATTGGGGGATTAATTGTACATTTATATATAATTAAGCTCATTTTGATAAGATATATGTTGTGTGCACTTTATCACTTTTTAAGTTGATATAGCTTATGTGCAGATAATGAGATAGGTCTGTTAATTCTACTTAGTCCACTAATGACAAATTCATACCTCTTCCCTAATTACAGTTAACTGTATTTCCTAACCTATTAGAGGATGGTCAGGTGAGGTGTGACCAATTATATAAGCAATCAATAGCAAGTAATCATCGGACTATTCGGGCTATTCATGCCCGTGCCACCTCTTGGGTGGCTTAACCTTTATCAATCAATCAATCATCAATCTAACTCCAAGAGTGGTTCAGTACAGACGCTTGAGAGATATTATCACACATAAACAACATTCACCAACAACAATGTAACACTTGAAGTGTCCAGTTCTTACCCTCACAAAACTCTTCAGCCTCAACACATAGCAGACTCCAGCCACATGGAGCTTCCACGCTCTCGTCCCGCACTCGAGCTCTTCTCCGCATTCAGAGCGCCGCGCTCTACACACCCCACATCCGAGCTGGTCTATACCCCCGGCCTCCCTCACCTCTCTGCCCTGCTCCAGGCTTCGTCACAACTACTACAACACTACACTGCCAACAAACCGACTGCTGTAACCAAGGCTATACAAAATATGAAAAACCATTAAACTCGACCAAATAACATAACATAATCATACGTTACAAAGTAAATAATGAGACAAAGGTAAAAGGGACTCTGTTTAATTACACTTTTTGATCCGTCAGTCATTCTCAGATTTCCTCGACTCATTTGTCTTCCTCACTCTCCATATACCCTCATATATCTTCCTCATTCTTTCTCCCTCCTCTCATTGATCTTGCTCTCTCTCCTCAGGTCTGCCCAAGCCTCCCCAGGTGACCAGCAGCCCCATAGGGGGGGAGAGTCACAGGTACACCCTCACCTGGGAGACTGAGAGTTACTATCCCATCACAGAGTTCCTCATTAAGTACCGCAAGACTCACCTGGGAGCCTGGCATGTGAGTATAGTCACCTGGGAGCCTGGTATGTGAGTATAGTTACCTGGGAGCCTGGCATGTGAGTATAGTCACCTGGGAGCCTGGTATGTGAGTATAGTTACCTGGGAGCCTGGCATGTGAGTATAGTTACCTGGGAGCCTGGCATGTGAGTATAGTCACCTGGGAGCCTGGTATGTGAGTATAGTTACCTGGGAGCCTGGCATGTGAGTATAGTTACCTGGGAGCCTGGCATGTGAGTATAGTTACCTGGGAGCCTGGCATGTGAGTATAGTCACCTGGGAGCCTGGCATGTGAGTATAGTCTCTAGGTAGCCTGGTATGTGAGCTATCACTTAGTCACCTCTCAGTTGCACACCTAGAAAAGGTCTTTGGGAATTTGGTACCTTGTTATCCCTCTAAAATTGTCGGAAAATTATCAGTCAGAAAATATTAAAATGTATAATAATATTTTACAAAAAAATAATAAGTGTAAGATTGTTATTAATCCCACTAAGATTGTTATTAATCCCACTGAGATTGTTATTGATCCCACTGAGATTGTTATTGATCCCACTGAGATTGTTATTGATCCCACTGAGATTGTTATTGATCCCACTGAGATTGTTATTCATCCCACTGAGATTGTTATTAATCCCACTGAGATTGTTATTGATCCCACTGAGATTGATCCCACTGAGATTGGTATTCATCCCACTGAGATTGTTATTAATCCCACTGAGATTGTTATTGATCCCACTGAGATTGTTATTCATCCCACTGAGATTGTTATTAATCCCACTGAGATTGTTATTAATCCCACTGAGATTGTTATTGATCCCACTGAGATTGTTATTAATCCCACTGAGATTGTTATTAATCCCACTGAGATTGTTATTAATCCCGCATGAGCTAACTACGATGCTCCCAACTACACAGTTATCATAGTGTGTGAGCCACCGTGCGTGTGGGTCACATATTTACAACACTGGCATAAACATGTGTCTCTCAAACACATGCCATCACCTGCAAGAATGAAATTGAATTAAGGATAATAGTTGCTCGATTAAATCATGAATGCATGTACAATATATGAATAATATGTGTGTATAATATATGTACAACATGTGCATACCGATAATACATACCCCTTCAACAGGTGGAGTATGAAGACAGGTGTGGTATGAGGACATTTGTGGTAGGAGGACAGGTGTGGTATGAGGACAGGTGGAGTATGAGGACATGTGTGGTATCAGGATAGGTGTGGTATGAGGACAGGTGGAGTATGAGGACAGGTGTGGTATGAGGACAGGTGTGGTATGAGGACAGGTGGAGTATGAGGACAAGTGTAGTATGAGGACAGGTGTGGTATGAGGACAGGTGGAATATGAGGACATGTGTGGTATCAGGATAGGTGTGGTATGAGGACAGGTGGAGTATGAGGACAAGTGTAGTATGAGGACATGTGTGGTATCAGGATAGGTGTGGTATGAGGACAGGTGGAATATGAGGACATGTGTGGTATCAGGATAGGTGTGGTATGAGGACAGGTGGAGTATGAGGACAAGTGTAGTATGAGGACAGGTGTGGTATGAGGACAGGTGGAATATGAGGACATGTGTGGTATCAGGATAGGTGTGGTATGAGGACAGGTATTAAGGTAGAGTTTATGACAGATGAACCGGACGCTGATGATGGCTGGGTCGTGGCTGAAGGTGTCACAGACGGTGGGGGAGGCGGAGGTGAGGCAGCAGGGGTCACGCCTGCTCCTGGCCTGCCACCTCCAGGGCCTGGAGGTGGCCTCCGACTACGTGGCCGTCGTGAGAGTCAGGAACAAGTATGGTTGGTCCGCCGAGTCTGACAGCTTCTCCTTCTCCACCAGGAAAGGTGAAGCTCATGTAATTATTCTTGCTTTATTATCTACCTTATTCTCCATTGTGTTCGTGTTGTATTTCATTGTATTTGTGTTTATTACACATTACTTGATTAACATTATTTTAAATTCAACCTAGAATGATTACAAAAGCTGTCAGTAATGAAATATTTTAGACTGTGACAGTCAGTCATATCTTCCACTATTATGTAGTATTTTTAACTATATGTAATTGAATTTTTAATTATTTCAGCGCTGAAGGTGCTACAGTCTACGAGCAGAGCGTCGCCACTGGCCACTGCGCTCTGCGTGTCTGTGCTGCTGGCAGCTCTCTGCCTCACTCTCATGTAACACGCGTTCGCATACACGAATCCGACTGTACTGTCATGAGTAGAACTGTCTGGCGAAACATTTCCCCGGCTGTATATCGAACTCCGGACACTGTAATAATCACCATGGCGGAAGTTGTTGAGTTTTGGGTAAACAAAGTGACTGATGGATCATCATTGGCTCTCTACCATTGTCAAGTGCAGCATGTAGCCTAGTAGTAGGCATCCGTCAGTCTCAGGAGACTATGGAATTGCGCTCTGGTTGTCGGTCTGGAGTGGCCTCTCCAGAGCGCAAAGCCGGGGTAGGTTGATACAGGGAGGAGAAGCTGTTACCCAAGCAGCAGGTTTTCCCCTCTCCACGGCGCCGAAAGTCTCCAAAGGAAAGGCAAACACCCTTCTCTAACATCAATCGAAAACGACACCGATGTTTCGTGTGGCCGGATATGTCAATTATTTATTTAGATGATGGTTGTAATGGAGGAGAGGTGTGAAGAGGAAGCCAGGAGCCCATTGGAGTGTACGAGGCTTCCTGGAGCACTGCCTCGGGCACGCTGGTGTGTGCGAGGCTTCCTGGAGCACAGCCTCGGGCACGCTGGTGTGTGCGAGGCTTCCTGGAGCACAGCCTCGGGCACGCTGGTGTCTCCGCCGGGGCTCTCCCACCACGGCCTTCACGCCTGCCTGCTTCTAAATGCACCTGAAAGTAATTGGCGGCGAAAATATTTTCCTCCTCGCAAGAGCCTTTCAAGGCTTTTTGACTCGAGTAACTTGCAACAGCAGCAACAGCAAGGAGCAGCAGCAGCAGCATCACCAACAGCAGCAGCAGCAGCAGCAAGGAGCAGCAGCAGCAGCAGCAAGGAGCAGCAGCAGCAGCAGCAAGGAGCAGCAGCAGCAGCAGCAGCTGTAACACCATGGCGGCAGTCGTCTCGCGGTAGCCGTACAGTCGAGTTGATATTTCAGTTAATTGTGAGATGGCTGTCCATTTTTATGATGATTAAATTCCTTTTATCTCCAATGATGGAAATAAGTTTGTTATTGATGTAGACTATTTGATGGTTGCTGTTTCCACTGAGACAGAAGATTTCGTGTCTTCGGACCGCAACCAGTACTGTTTGTAACTATTTTTTCGTTCAAGCGGAAGCTTAGGATATATGTGTGTGTGTGTGTGTGTGTGTGTGTGTGTACTCACCTAATTGAACTCACGTAGTTGTGCTTGCGGGGGTTGAGCTCTGGCTCTCTTGTCCCGCCTCTCAATTGTCAGTCAACTAGTGTACAGATTCCTGAGCCTACTGGGCTCATATCTACATTTGAAACTGTGTATGGAGTTTCCCTCTACAGCAATAGCAAGCAGCAGCATGTATATGAGTGTGTGTGTGTGAGAGAGAGAGAGAGAGAGAGAGAGAGAGAGAGAGAGAGAGAGAGAGAGAGAGAGAGAGAGAGAGAGAGAGAGAGAGAGAGAGAGAGAGAGAGAATACTTCGCTGCGGAAGGCTAACAATCCATGTCTAGCCGTAAGGTATCGTGGATTGACGAAACTAACAGTTTTTCTTTGAGCTGTACAAGACTTCTGATAGAGGTAGAGCTTACCCGAATATTAGGTTATTAATCAGGGCAAGAGTGAATAAGACATCTGAAGAGATGTTGAGAATACAAAGCAAGATATCATACGAACATGAAAGGAATTCTCAATTTTAAAAGGTACTTGACAATTGTTAATATGTAAGACTCCTAGACAATCTGACCATATATGTTTCAAAAATATAGATGGAGCCGAGATGGCATGTAACGCCAAGATAATCCCAAGGTAACAAGATAACACTAAGGTAGCACCAATATAACCCCAAGGTAACAAGATAACACCTAGGTAACCCCCAATATAACATCAACGTAATATCAAGATAACACCAACGTAGTGCCAAAATAACACAAAGATAACACCCAATGGAAAATGGCCAACGTTCCCTGTACTGAATGTGATCACAGCAACTTTTTGGACAAAGTTTTGTTTGTGAAATAAAGTTGAAGATAAGATATATGCTAATTAGCGAATTACTTAAGTGCTCTTGTGCCGGAAATCAAGAAGGAAAAAAACATTTACTAATCAAAGAAGAATGACAACAAATTGCCATAATGGCCGGAAAAATTAGAGATGAACCCTTAGCCAAAAAAAAAGCTTATTAAGCTGTCACAGCTTAAAACACTCTGGATTCTTACACAGCCAAATTCTGGTATGACGCCACTATGGTACTGACGAGGTTCCCGCGTTAGGCACAGTTTTATGCATTAAATATAACGATGTTAACATTAAGTTGTATATAAGTGTACGATACTTTTGTCAATAAAACACTATGATGTACCGTGTTTCTATATTTTCCTTAGATGATTTATTTTATCGTAAGACTGTTCATGTTATCCTTGAAGGTCTTGATGTTATCCTGGTATAGGACTTGTGTGATGTGGTACAGGACCTGTGTGTTGTGGTACAGGACCTGTGTGGTGTGGTACAGAACCTGTGTGGTGTGGTACAGGACCTGTGTGGTGTGGTATAGGATCTGTGTGTTGTGGTACAGGACCTGTGTGGTGTGGTATAGGATCTGTAAACTGCGGTACAGGACCTGTGTGGTGTGGTACAGGACCTATGTGTTGTGGTACAGGACCTGTGTGTTGTGGTACAAGACCTGTGTGTTGTGGTACAGGACCTGTGATCTGTATTCACCTAGTTGTTGTATTCACTAGTTGTGTTTGCGGGGGTTGAGCTTTGCTCTTTCGGCCCGCCTCTCAACTGTCAATCAACTGTGTACTAACTACACTAGCTACTTTTTTTTCTGTGGTACAGGACCTGTGTGTTGTGGTACAGGACCTGTGTGGTGTGGTATAGGATCTGTGTGTTGTGGTACAGGACCTGTGTGTTGTGGTACAGGACCTGTGTGGTGTGGTACAGGACCTGTGTGGTGTGGTATAGGACCTGTGTGGTGTGGTACAGGACCTGTGTGGTGTGGTACAGGACCTGTGTGGTGTGGTACAGGACCTGTGTGTTGTGGTACAGGACCTGTGTGTTGTGGTACAGGACCTGTGAGTTGTGGTACAGGACTTGTGAGTTGTGGTACAGGGCCTGTGAGTTGTGGTACAGGACCTGTGTGTTGTGGTACAGGACCTGTGTGTTGTGGTACAGGACCTGTGTGTTGTGGTACAGGACTTGTGTGTTGTGGTACAGGACCTGTGTGCTGTGGTACAGAACCTATGTGCTGTGGTACAGAACCTATGTGCTGTGGTACATGACCTGTGTGCTGTGGTACAGGACCTGTGTGCTGTGGTATAGGATCTGTGTGTTGTGGTACAGGACCTGTGTGTTGTGGTACAGGACCTGTGTGCTGTGGTACAGGACCTGTGTGCTGTGGTACAGGACCTGTGTGCTGTGGTACAGGACCTGTGTGCTGTGGTACATGACCTGTGTGCTGTGGTACATGACCTGTGTGCTGTGGTACAGGACCTGTGAGCTGTGGTACAGAACCCGGAAGAAGAAGAAGAAGAAGCGGGGGTAGACAACAACAAACAGGAAGTAGTGAAGAACATGGACACAGAGGAAGATGAAATGTAAAACAGAGTAACACCAAGATGACAGAAGAGAAACGTAAAGCACCGGGAAAGGACACGGGAGGAGATAAAGCAGAGGAGGAAGTCAAGGAAGCGGGAGCAGGCGAAGAAGAGGAGGAGGAGGAACTCAAGAGCCTCCCGTTGCTCTGGATTCCCACAATAAGTCGGAAGCTTTCTGACGGGAGATTAAAGCCTCCCCACTCGCCCAAAGGTAACCTTTTTCCTGGGATTTATTGTGGATGGTAATCCCTGTAGAGTGTGCTGGGTGAGAGGCAGTGTCAGGGGTGAGGAGCTGATTCACTGTGAAGGGCTGAATCAGGGTTAAGGGATGATTCAGGTTCAGGAGCAGAGTGACGGTCAAGGGGACTGAATCAGGGATAGGGACTGAGTAAGGAGAAGTGGCTGAGAGAGGTCCTGGGATGAAGAGCAGGAGGATGAGTGAGAGTGATGGGGAGGATGAATGAGGGTCGGAAACTGAGTGAGAGTAAGTTGAGTGAGCGGGTGAGTGAGGATGAAGGGGGGGGGGGCTGAGTCTCATATTAGAGCTGAGTAAGGGGGAGGTGGAAAATCAGGGTGTGAGAGGGTGAGTGAGCAGAAGGTAAAGGGGGTTGAGTGTGGATGAGGTAATTGAGTACATGTGAGGGATTGAGTAAGGGTCAAAAGACTCTTGCCCCAATAAGTAGACCTTTCCCAGTGGCCCCCCTCTCTTCCCCCCCACCCCTGCTGTCAAACATCCCTTCAACCACTAATAATTCCGCGAACTTTCCAATAATTCCCTGCATTTCTCAATAATTCCCCCCCTGCCATCACTCAATAACTCCCTGCCATCACTCAATAATTCCCAGCCTTTTCCCAATAATTTCCCGCCTACTTTCAATAGTTCCCGATCCTCAATTTTTTTTTTTGTCTATCACTTAACAACATTTTCCTACATTGGTCATAATTGTTTTCTTTCGAAAATTCTGCCGATTTGTTATATTTTAGTTTGGTGACGTAGTTTATTTTCAATACCACAAATCTAATACAAATCTTCACACACGTCTCACAGATTCGGTGCTTCACACAACAGCTTCTAAAATCCTCGTGAATGAGCATAATTCCTAAATTTATATGAAATTGGAAACAAATTACACAAATGGCCTGAAATTTAGTGAGTTTATCTTGAATTTGGTAAATCTCTGGCATTGCCAGGGACACACAACAGACACATACATATGTGTGTGTGATTTTTGTTTTGTATGTATATACAATTTGTGTCTAACGGTTGTGATAATGCAGTTATGAGAATATAAGTAATATTTTTGTTATGTCTATCCAACAACATAAGCATCACCATCTCTAGTGTAAACATCACAATATCTAGTGCCAACATCACCATCTCTAGTGTAAATATCACCATCACTGGTGCCAGAATCACCATCACTAGTGCCAACATCACCATCACTAATGCCACCATCTCTAGTGTAAACATCACCATCACTAATGCCACCATCACCATCTCTAGTGTAAACATCACCATCTCTAGTGTAAATATCACCATCACTGGTGCCAGTCAACATCACTAGTGCCAACATCACCATCACTAATGCCACCATCTCTAGTGTAAACATCACCATCTCTAGTGCCAAAAGGTACTAAACATGGCTCTCTCTCTCTCTCTCTCTCTCTCTCTCTCTCTCTCTCTCTCTCTCTCTCTCTCTCTCTCTCTCTCTCTCTCTCTCTCTCTCTCTCTCTCTCTCTCTCTCTCTCTCTCTCTCTCTCTCCCTCTCCCTCTCCCTCCCTCTCCCTCTCTCTCTCTCTCTCTCTTAGCATCATCCTGGTCCTTAGTTTATGAAGAGTATCGTCTCCTCAATTAAGTCAACTTTAGTCAACTTTTTCTCAAGAAGTTAAACAAAGACGAATCCAGACTTGTGGATTTATTCACTTCACCGAGTTTTTTGAGGCCATTTTTGCATTGCTTTTTTTTGTCTCGAAGAACGTAATTAGCGCGCACACTTCTCGCACAAGCGTCTGTCGCTTCTTTGAAGTGTTAATGAGGCGCTGAACAAAAGTAACCGCGAGGAAAACTTTAACGAATGGAAAGAGTCTAAAATACAAGAGTTTCCCATCTCAGTCTGACTACATGCTTCCCTGCACGGCCGTCCCTCCGTGCTCTTTGTTTCGTCCGGGTCGGTTATGGGCCTAAACTTATTGGAACGGCATTTGTAAACTGTCTTATTATCGCCGACAATTCCTCTTTTTGATCTACACCCTTAATGAAAATTTGTAAAACTACCTGTGATGAGATTTTGAATAAAAATTGTGAATTTTATTAAAAAACGTGTCCTAGACACTGGGCCAGGAGCTAAAGTTGGAATGTCAGAGGAAACAGGACATATCTTGGTTGGCTGGACCATCCCACATCCTTTTGGCCAAGACACATCCTGGTGGACAATACACATCCTGGTGGACAAGACATCCTGGGGTTGGCTGTACCACCACGCATCCGGGTTGCCAAGATATACATCCTGGTGGACACATCCTGTTCCTATCTTATCGTGACTCTTATCCCCACACTTATCTTGGCCATATTAGAATGTGAATCAATCTGATGTCTCCCGCAAGCGCTGACAGCCACTGTACACAACGTGAGTGTTGCCAAGATGCATGAGTAGTTTAGTAGTCTACTAGCTAGCTTATACGAGCTTGCCTGTACTAACTAACCAGTACTAGCTGGCCTGTACTAGCACACGTTAGGTGGACTAGGAGGTCATAGTTTCTTATTTTCATAAGTTGACACTTCCTCGGACTATTGATCATTGACCTTGAAAGGCAGATTGTCACACTCGTAGGCTTCTGGTTAGACAAAACCACTTCCACCGTGACGGTTGTCACCTGGTGGAGTACCACAGTGGGAGACACAGGCAGGTACTTACCTTTTTATTTTATTTTATTTTTTATTTTTTTATTTTTTTTACGTAACAGCACATACCAAGCAGTGACTACGGGGAAGTGAAGTTCACTGTAATTGAAGCCTCGCCTACTATCTGTGGTCTTGTGTTATCGGTTATGTTATTTAAAACAGTGGAGCAATAGTAGATAATATTATATAACCACATCACTCCAATAGATACAATGATCTCGTTCTGTCTTGCTCACATTATACTCAACCCATCCTCCTGTTTAGACACTACCTATTGTAACTATGGTCAATAGTCAGAATTCGTACGCACTTCAAAATCAAAATAAAAAATATAAAAATGTTTATTCAGGGAAAGATACATACATAGAACATGAGTTACAAACATAATGTTGGATTTATAGATAGAGCTAGTACATACAATACCTAAAGCCACTAATACGCACAGCGTTTCGGGCAAGCAAAGGTTTTCTTTAGCCGGGTTACTTAGGTATTAGATAGTAGTATACTGAGCAGTGAGCAATTCTTTTAAAATGAATGAAGCTAAAACACAAATTTAAATATTCCTAGGCCTAATATAGCACACATATGTACAATATTAGGCCTCAGATATCGTGTATTTTTGCCTAGGAAAGTTAGGATAGGTTAGTTTAGATTGTCAGAACAACACTAGTAACAAATCGTTTTCCGGTTTGTCCAATTCAATATTTCATATTTCTACTTTCTAATTTCGTTGTACGACCGTATATGTACTATGGTCCTCATCGTTACTATAAGTACTAACTTAACAGGAGGATGGGCTGACTAATGTATCTCTATCTAACGTGGGGTAACTTTGCATGGGGCTTAGCGATTGCAAATTACCTCAAGCCTATCATCCCCCACCAAAAATCAGCTATCTGAACTATATCAAACTCTGCATTCAAATAACACACAACCATGCCAAACCTGGCCTTAAACATTTCCTAGAATATTGTAACAGAACCTATGAGCACCAAACTAGAAACAAATACCTATTTGATATTCTAAGAGTGCGCCTTAACCGAACTAGAAATACTCTACAAATCAAGGGACCCGGAATATGTAATAACCTCCCCAATCATGTCAAAGGCTGTACCTCTCTCAACCAGTTTAAGAGAAAACTAAATACTACCTAATAAACTCTATGTAGCCTACCTTACCTCCTAAATGTCAACCCATGTCTTGCTATTTTCAAACATTATTGTTAATTGACCAACTTGTTTAACTGTTGATATTTGTCATGTATAAACTTAAAGAAAATTGTAATCTGTTTATTTAGTTAAAATTCCTTCTGCTGTTCTGTTGCATTTTCTGCCGTTCTATCCATCATATAATTATTATAATTATCTTATTCTTTTTTCCTTTTTTCAATTCAGTTTATGCTTTTGATCTCAATTAGTATTAACTTTTAGTCTTAGTTTTTTCCCCACACCTTGCCCGAAACGCTGTGCGTATTTTTGGCTTCAGGCATTGTATGTACTAGCTCTATCTATTAAATTTTAATCTGACATTATGTTTGTAACTCATTTTCAATGTATGTACCTTTACCTGAATAAATATCTTATCTTATTTCCAAAGCCAGACTAAATTTCTGCAAACTCGACATGCGAATTAAAGGAAGTAATATATGGAACTCAGTCCATAATAAATTTAAAAATTGTCCAACCCATATTCGCAATAATTATATGAATACAAATATGAATACAAATTCTGTCATAAGATACATGTTATTACATTTATTTTTAATTCAAGATTGACTGTTTCACCTTCTAATTTTAAATGCATTGGCAAATTCTGTTTACTTTAGAACGGAAACGCTACGCGTGTTGGTGGCTTTGCAAAAATGCACAAACATATGCACTTTCCACTTTCACGACACTTTCGCGCCCCGTGTACGACAACTGCGCCGGCAACGAGAAGGGTTCAGAGAGGGCCAAAAGATAAGTCCATATACGTCATCATCGGTAATCTGTAACCAAACCTATTGTATGCTAACCTAATCTTACTTATCCTAGCCTAGTATATTCTATCCTAACTAAACTTAATCTAACCTAGCCTAAAGAAATTAATATATAATTAGTTTTTTAATTTAAAAAATTGTAAACAATATATGTGACGTCATAGCTTAAACTCTTGAAGACCCTTTTGCATAGAAGAGTTGGTGGCGCTGCCACGATGCCAGAGTAACTGATACTTAGTGCCTTGACGGACTCGTTGTAGGTAGGGCGTGTCTCGCTGCTCCTCCCTTCACCATCACACCATACAGGTCAGTTAGTGTATATTACCAAACACAATAGCCTCGTACATAATATACATCAAGCCACAGACAATTTATTCAATAAAACATTCTTCATTTTCTCATGGAAGTGAGTTTAGTTCGTTTATTATGCGCCCCATACCCGTGAATGGAGACAGCTCAGGAAATGAACCCTAAAATTAAGTTGATTAAGCAACTTACCGTCTTGTTAAGAGAGTTACACAGTTTAATGTACATATCACTATAGTCTTTTATACCATAACGGGTCCAAGAGCTGAGCCACAACACTCTCTTAAGCTAAACAGTTTACATTTGCAGTGAGCTAGTTACATAATCATATGATTGTTTATCCTGCAAAGTGGGCGGCTGTGTGGTAGTGGTCGACGTTCTTGACTCACAATCGACGACCCCGAGTGGTACAGAAGTGGTTGGGCACGTTACCTGGGAGTTAGGCAACTGTTGTGGGGGTTGCATCCTGGGGGGGGGAAGGTCAGTAGTTGGTGGCCGTTTGTCTCGCTGTTGTCAAGTATATTTGTTACATTTATTTAGTTTTTTTAACAACTAATATTTGTGTTCAATTATAATTGTAAATATACAACCCGGCCTTGTAACAAACTAGGCTGTTGTAAGAATTATTCCAGAAGGTTGTTCAGTAGGGTGACCTCTAGTCCCCTTTAGCAGGTCTGAGTCACAAATGGCGGGCATCTTTGTTCATAGCTGCGTATAATGAACCATTTAGTATTCAGTTTTAGAGAAAAAGCCTTTATTCATTTTGCATTAAAATTGTATTGTATAATAGTACTGGATACAATATCAAGAGTATTCTAATTATTGAGTTTAAGTCACCATCAGTGACGTCACGAATCAGATCTAACTTTTAAGGCGGAGTGACCGGCGGTCATAGGTCAGCAGGGTTGACATGTCTAATATTTCTCAAAGTTTTAATAACCATTTTTGTGATCGGGAACAGCTTTGCCGTTAGATGTTTGTGTAATCTAATTAAAGTAAAATAATTCAACCAGTCTGGATCAATTCAGTACAAACAGAGGTTAATTGTTATAACTTAAACCTTGCTAGGAACTGGGTAGAACTTTGACTAGGCGGAAGGATACAATACTCTTGTCTGGGGTAGACCAGACAAGGAAGAGATCAGTGTGATCTGCCGAGCAGCTGGGAGAGGTCAAACATCTTACCTCTCCCCAAGACCAGCCCAACACCTAGATCTGGAAAACATAGAGGTATAGTTGCTATGGTTATGTATAGAAATAGTCTTATTTGCCATTCAGGTCAAGTAGGGAGTGTTAAAGTGACAGGGAGTGAACATATTTAGATTTTGTTTAGTTTTTCTGTAATAAATTAATTAAGTTAAGAATTTGCATTTTTATTGTTTCATGTGTTTCATATGTACACTTGTCCTGGTCACGTGGTCCACACGAGGCAGAGTTGGATTGGGCGCCGATTCTAACATCGAATCGGAATTATCATTACCGTGTAATTTATTCCACACTCAAGGTCATCGTAGATAGTGGGGATCAAGCCCCAAGGTTGATTAATTAGCGTGATCGATCCAGACCTCGATCATTGCTCTGTAGAGCTGGTCTGGTGGTGGCAGCATAGAGGCGACTCTAGGGTTTTGCTCAGAGCTTAGGTCACGTCATACTGGGTGTAGAATCCTAAGTCGGTCAATCGTCTTAGGACCACGTGGCGTGGAGTTGGCTTTGGTAAAAGTTTTGGAGTCCCTTGGTAGAGAATAAAAAAGTAAGAATACGGGTAGAGGGCAAAGAAAGAAGGAAGTAAAGAGAGAGGGACCCAAACCCGTGTTACAGCCTCAGACCAAGTCCATTCCATCCAGCGGTCGACTCCAAAGACGTATTCATAAATTTGAACATGCACTTCATTCAAAACGGGAATGTTTTCAAATATAAATTATTATAATAGCATATTGTGCATATTTAGGCATAGGTTAGGTTAGGTGTTTAGGTTCTGTCTGTTGGCAATTATTTGTATATGTTGTACGTGGGTGAGGCATTTACAGCGTTGTGGTTCGAACAAAACTCGTCAGCGAAGCACTTGTTCTTGGAAGTGTTCGAACGTTTTCAGCTGTAAGTCGTGTGTAAAAAGTTTTTCATTCATAAACAGGGGGTTTGGTGGGTGCATGGAATGGACTTTGTCCCTTGATTATGAGAACGGGCTGAAATATAATAATGGAAGTCTCGCTCTTGTGAGCAGAGTCAGCGCCCCATAGTTCAAGATAAGTCTTGTCCCACAGGTGGTTACAGGAGTAGACAACTTGGCCTGGGTTCATATCCTGGCCGGAGAGGATTGTTAGGGCGCCAATCCTTAACTGTAGCCTCTGTTCACCCAGCAGTGAACGGGTACCTGGTTGTTAAACGATTTGGCGGGTCGTATTCCGGGGGAAATTAAGATTAAGGACCTGCCCGTGACGCTATGGGTGTTAGTGGCTGTGCCAGACATCACTCGGTACCCCTACTCAAATCTCTTAATATGTTAGATATTAAGTCACTGCACATTCTCTCATGTGTATTATACATATATAAAACGCTAAACTATAATGCCAATCCTGATCTTAAAAGCTTCATGGAAGGTTGTAACAGAACCCATGAGCACCACACCAGAAATAAATACAGTTTTGATATTCCTAGAGTACGTCTTAATCAAACTAGAAATGCTCTGCAAATCAAGGGGCCCAGAATGTGGAATGACCTTCCCAACCATGTTAAAGACTGTACCTCTCTCAACCAGTTTAAGATAAAAACTAAACACTACCTAATAAATTCCCTGTAATCTACCTCACTCCTCTATTGTCAACCCATGTCTGTTATTTTTTTTTTTTTTTTTTTTTTTTTTTTTTTTTTTTTTTTTTTTTTTTTTAATCAACACTGTTTGTCAACCTATTGTATTTGTGCTGCTTTTTCAGTCATGTTCCCCCTTTTTTTTTATCTTATTTGTATTTGTTCTCAACACCTTTATTCTTTATGCTCAATTAGTATTAAGTTCTAGATATTAATGTTTTTCTTGCCCGAAACGCATTGCGTAATAGTGGCTTTAGGCATTGTATGTACTAGCTCTATCTATATATCAATCCATTAATGTAACATCACTTGTATGTATATACCTTACCTGAATAAACATCTGAATCTGAATCTAATCTAAATACTTAAGTTCCTTGCACTAGTTTCTTAAGGCCGTTCTTATGCTGGCCAACCTGGCATATGCCGCAGATGATATCCTCCTGATGTAGGATAGGTCATCCTACATCCTTCAGGGGACAGGTCTGGCTTGATATCAACCCCTAGGTCTTTCTCACTCTGATTCTTGAAGAATTTCATCTCCCAAATGGTACCTTATATCTAGCCGCCTGCTCCCTACACATATCTTCATTACTTTACATTTTCTCCTGTTAAACTCTAACAGCCATTTGTTGGCCCATTCCTTCAGTTTGTACAGGTCATCTTGAAGCCTCATGCTGTTGTGTGCCGTCTGAATCCTCACATTTTTGGCATCATCAGCAAACATTGAGAGAAATGAGTTTATACCTACTGGAAGATCATTTACGTACATCAGAAGCTTTTAATCAAGCACCCGGGATTTGTACTCCTAAGGTTCCGGGTTCGATCACCGGCGGAGGCGGAAACAAATGGGCCGAGTTTTTCACCCTGATCTTCCTGTTTAGCAGTAAATAGGTACCTGAGAGACAGCTGCTACAGGCTGGTTCCTGGGGATGTGTAACAAAAAGACCTGGTCGAGGACCGGGCCGCGGGGACGCTAAGCCCCGAAATCATCTAAAAATAACCAAGATTGGTCCAAGTACAGAATCCTGTGGGAGTCCGCTGGTGACTTCACGCCATTCTAAGGTCTCATCCCTCACGGTAACTCACTGCTTCCTGTTGTTTAGGTACTTCCTAATCGTCCACTGGAGCTCTTGCATGTTTCTGCAACCTGTGCACCAGCCTCTTATGGGAGTATACGACGTACTGTATAAAAGGCTTTACGACATTTCAAGAAAATGTCGTTTACCCGCCCTGCTGTTGTGCGCGTATGTGTGTGTGTGTGTATGTGCGATTAAACTTTGCGTGACTATGTAACCATAGGCTACATAGTCTTTCCGGCTTCGTGCCGCCTTTTGATAACTACTTACTTACTATGGAACAAATTATATAACGTGACAATGTTGTAACAAGATTTTGTCGTCAATGTAGAGAGAGGCTGTTAGATCATTGTGAATATACTACATACATCTTGCTCAGGTAGGCCTAGCTGAGTGCTTTGGAAAGTTGGAAAATGCAAAATGGAAACCATTACAATCTTTTTCTGACGTTTTCCCATACAGTAGTTTTGATGTTGTATGGTGAATGGATTGGTCACGATACGCAAATTGCGTATGTAAATTAAAGTGACTTTAATGTCATATATCCTTAGTGGTATTCTTGACCCCCGTCTTCGTGTCTGTCTCTTTCATACCTGGAGGCTTATTAAGGCTTATCAACCTCTGGATGAAGATTAAGGCCACCACAATGCCCTACTAACCAACACGTACACTTCAGACGTAAACATTTTCCAGGATTAAAGTAAACTCAGTGTGTATACTGTGAGAGTATATACGCCCTCGGTGCGTATATCCCTTAAACGACGAACAGGCGAGATTGTAAGGTCATGAGCCAGAGAACGAGATAGATGTTGTCATCAGAAGATGCTAAATTGCCAAAGGCTTTGTTAGTAGGCGAGAAATTGGTGAAAAATAATTGTTTATGGAGAGCTTTACTCGTGTCCAAATTAAGAGTTTTTCATTCCCAAAGTCAAGCTTGAGGACAGGCTTGCCTGATGACAGCTTGACTCACAGCCTGGCAAGACCCATCACATCGTGGTTGACCCGTCACTTCTGACATGAACCACTCATGTTCCCCCTTGAAGATATCAACGCATGTTCCGGCAACGTTTCTCGTGTTCTCTGGTAGAAGGTTGAAGAGCTGTGGACCTCTTGTTGATGA